CCTCTGGATTAGACTGTCTCATCCAGAACCCTCCCCTGCTTCCTCCAAAGCCTCCTCCAGCTCTGTCCCCTGAGAATCCCCAGGCACAGGCTCAGCAGAAAGTTCCCTCCTACCTGCAATCTAAACATCACACCCCGCCTCCCTGAGCTCCTGGTGAGATCCACACAAACACCTCTGTCTCTGCCCACTTCCCCCCATCAGGGAAAGGGACCCTGACAACTTCAATCCTTTCTTTACCTGGGAAGGACATTATAAGGCCAGCAGGGCACCTGCCTCAAATTAGGGGTGGCGGGGGGTCTTTACTTAAAATGCAGGTTCTTGGGCTCTTTTCCAGACTTACTGGTTCAAACTCTTTGGCAAGAAACTCCAGGGATCAAATTTTTAAATAGACCCTCCTGGGGAATTCTTGAACACACTGGAGTCTGGGAGCTACTACTGGGGCACTAGAGGGTGAGCATTAGAGACCAGTGTATCAATTTCTAACTGTGCCTCCTGAAGCAAATCATTTAGCTTCTCTGGGCCTTGATTCCCTTATCTAAAAAATGTTCTTAATCTGAAGAAGAAAAAAAAAAAAAAAGCAACACCTACTGTCTGGTTTGTTTTATGCTGCTATATAACAAGGCATCACGGGCCTACGATGAACAGAAATGGCTTTGAATTGTGGTTCTGGAGGCTAGAAGCAGAAGGGGCAGAACTCATCCTTTTATTCAGAACTCACTCTGCAAGAGCAGCAAGAATACAGAGCTTCATGGCCTCACGGCCTCCCAACCACCTCTCACTGCTGAAGGAGGCCTGTCTCCAACCCAGGTGTGCATCTTGGGAACACGTTCAAATGGTACCACCCACCTAATGGGAGATCACGAGGGTCAAACAGGCTTCTAAGTGCCCAACACTGTGCTCACGCCCCTGGGTTCAAGCCCCAGTACCAAAGGTAGCGGGGAAGCAAAGAGCAGAAGACCAAGGGAGCCACCAGTGGTGGCACATGCCTGTAGTACCAGCTACACAGGAAGCTGAGGCACATACACATAAACACAGAGGCCAGGAGTTCAAGGCCAGCCTGGGCCACAACGCAAGATCCCACCTCAAAAAACAAACAGAATGTGGGGACGCGGGCTGGAACCAAGCTCACAGACCTGGCCCTGGAAGGGACAGGCTATCGCATCCTCTGATAGGGTGCTCCACCACCACCCCACAAGCTCATGTAGCTCCTCAGACACCCCCAGATAGAAGCAGAAATGACACCACCTCAGAGCAGCTGAAGTCCCAGTGGACCTGCCTATAGTAAAATCACCCAGAGACCTGCAGGGAAGAGAAGGAAGTCACCAAGGGCAGGTGGGGAAGGAGCAGGCAGCAACACCCCACTCAGGGAGATGTCAGAGGGTGACTAATTGGCTTTTCTAGGGCATTGTCACCAATGCTGGAGAAATATTCCACTTCAAAAATAAAAGTAAAAGTGAATTCCAAAATTAACTCTCCCCAAATAACCCTTTTCCAAAGAAAAGTCCACACCACAGTCTACCTGTGGTCCCTCCTGGAGGACTGACCCTGAGGACACCTCTCTGACCTGGACAGGGTGCTTCCCAGGCCCCTGCCCACATGGCAGGTGCTTTCCAATGTTCTCCGTTCTCAGACAGACAATCTTACCCACTTCTCTGACCTCCCAGAACACAGCAGCTGCAACAGAGGGTCCCTGTCCTTCCTGTCCTGATCCAAAGGTGCCAGAAAAGCACTGACCTCCGATGCATGCCCATCTCTTTATCACCCTGCACATCACCTTCCTGTACTTTCTTAGTCTTTTTGGCTCAGTGCTGGTAACAAATGCATACAAGGAGGCACCAACTATGTCATTCCTTGTTTCTCACAGAGCTATAGCGTGAAGAAAAAAGTGCTGGACTAATAGCACTTACCTACCTCTATGTACTCCTAAGCAAATTCATTCAAGCATCAACCAGATATTTAATGAGTATCTACTACAGACACTTCTGGGTCACACTCCAGAGACTTTACAAAGTCAAATGAACATAGCCAAGGGCAGTGAGGCCCCAGGTGTCTGTGCGACTTCTCCCTACTCAAAAGTGAAATGTCATATACAAAAGAGAGGAGGAAAGAGCTCATACCCACCAACAGGTGTTTGCGGGTAGCTAAGGGCCTCCAGGAATGCCGGCTGAGGTGCGCCGCTCTGCTGAGGGCCGTCTCGCATTCCCAGGCAGCAGTCATTTTCTGAAATATTCTCGCAATTATTACGGCACTGCATTAAAGCCATTTATCGAGCCACGTTTGGGGTTAATTGCTGGTGATAAGAGCAACATAAATATACCAAACCACAGCTTCGCCTGACAAGATTTTATACACCAACCACCAAGCAAGTCTCCTTCCTGAATTACACGCCTGCAATCATTTTTAGTGGCCATCACTCTTTACTGAATCACCACAATAAACCCTTTAGATATAAACAACTTGCCTTTCAATAGAGTCATAAATCAGACTCAGTGTCACCCACATGACCCCTCTGCTGATGAGGGGAGGCTCAGGGAGCAAGTCCTCAATCTTGGTGCATGTTAGAATCCCCGGGAGCATTGCAAATTGCTGATGCTGGGCTGGGAGTGTGGCTCAAGGGTGGAGCGGAAGCTCAGCCCATGTGAGGCCCACCATTCAACTCCAGCATAAGAAAAAAAAATTAAAAAGGAAAACAAACACCAATACCCAGGCTGCCTCAGCTGAGCCTGGACAGTGGGATCAGGTGGAAACTCCTAGAGGCCCTGACCTCTCCAGCACTTAAGCTTAAGCTCCAGTGGGCTCCTGGAGGTGGAAAACAGGGGAGTGTTGTAACACATGGCAATAAATACCAGGAGTTTGTAACACACTGGGGAACTGCGCTGTTCACAGAAATGCTTTAAAAGAAATGACCCCTGTTTCGAATCTGTGTAGCAATCCTTGCCCATATTGGTGGTCCTGACAGTGTCTAGGAACTTGCCTCCTGGCCAGTCTTCAAGGTCCTCCCCCAGCTTCTTGCTGCAAAGAGGGGAGTGAGGATGAGGCATAGGATGGGAAAAGAAACCAGAAGAAAGATGGGAAAGAGAGGCCAATACGGCCCTTTCTGAAAGCACCAGATGGGACATGAGGGTACCCCAGGGGGACAGGGTACTAATGAAAATCTGCGTTCTCTAAGACCAGGATTGGCAGGTGGTGCTTTGGTAGGGATATGCCAGTCCATGAGGGAACACTGTCTGCCAAAGTCAGAACTTCTTGTGGAACCTGAGAATGAAAATCTTCTGCCTTTGTCTCTTCAGTGCTGGGCAACAAGGTGTTTGAAAGTCAAGGACATTCAGAAAACATCTGGGTATTAAACAAACAAGGTCCCTGTCTGCAGAGAGCCAACAGTCAAGTGGAAGGGACAGATAAAGTGACAAGCAGGCCTGGGGGTATAGCTCAGTAGTTAAGCATGTGCTCAGCATGGTGGAGGCCCTGAGCTCCATCTTCAAAACAAAGCAAATAACAAGCCAATCCAAGTGCTACACAGCCAAAGAAGGGGACGTTCTAATTTAGTTCTGCAGGTCAGATGTTGCAAAGGCAGGCCTATGGCTCCCCTGAGGCTTGGGGTTCACTCTGGCCCCTCTGCCTCTGCAGCCTCCTGGCAGAGATGTCAGAGCCAAGACACTTCCCAGCTGGCATGATGGATCCTGTCCTCAAAGCATGGTGAAATGCTTACCGGAAAAGGGACTTGGCCAAAGTCAGAGTGGGGAGCAGGGCATGTTGAGTGAACAGGCTTCCCAGCCCCAAAAGAAGAAAAATAACATCTCAAAAATCCACTTGGCAACCGAGTTTCATTTTTCCTCCAGTTTCCTTGAAAAGACCAACAGGGCAGAGTGGGTTTAGCTAAAGATGTGGGGGTATTTCTAGGGTGTTGATGGTTCTGGGGAGCTGGGCTTTAAAGAAATCCAAGAAACACTCTAGGAAGCGCCAAACCGCATGCCTGCCGCTCTTCAGACATCGCCAGGCAGTCCTAATGTGCATCCCGCCAGCCTCCTCCTCTCCCTCCCTTGTCCCACTTCTGCCACCAGAAGATGAGCTATGAGGCAAGCTCAGCCTAGAGCTGAGCTACCCTGGAGTCTCTTCTGAGCCCTCTTCTGAGTCTCGGTTCATACTTGTCATCTATAAAACCTCTCAGGAGCTCTTCACAGGTGAACAGCTGGTCCCAGGTGGCCCCGAATGCTTCGCCACAGGCTTGGGCCCATCTGTGCCAGACTCCGTCGGTGAAGGAAGGGAGTTACAAACACAAGCCAGGCATTCCAAAACCACGCTGGGACAACTGCCCAGGAGCAGGTGTACCACCCACAGCATGGAAGGCACCCCAGCCCGGCCCAGTGCTGGGCCTGTCTACAAAAGGAGCACTTGGTTTGGGGTCAGAGATCTCGATGTGCACAGCAGCTCTTAAGCAGGTAACAGTGTAGCCTGAATGAGGTCACCTAACCTCTCTGAGCCTCTATTTCCAAAGCATCCTCAGTCACACAAGGCTGTAGCTCACCTCCCACCCACAGAAGGCCCTCATGGGCACTAACTTGGGCTGCTGCAAAGTGACACAGGTCCTGCCACACAGTCAGCTAGTGTCACCATGTACAGGGAGAAAACTGACTGAAGAAAGGTGAGGTACTCAGCCAGGAGTCTACACCACCAGGGTTGTGTCCTGGGTCTCCAGGTTTGTCCCATGTGAACCCATCACCTGCTCAGAGCTGTCACAAGATGTAAGCAACATCACACATACAAAAAAGTCCTCTGTCACCATAAAATGCTAAATAAGAGGTATCAGAGTCATTGGTCTAGGATTCCAGCCTCTAGCTAAGCCCAGGTCTCAACCCTAGGGTCACCCCAGCCTCATCCCTACAGAGTTTAATACAAGTGGTCTGGGGTTGGCCTTGGCAGAGGTACTTTTTTCAAAGATTCCCTCAGGGTGACCTTGGGATAGAAAAATGCCTATCTCAGCCTTCCCTCTCCCCCTCCACCACCCACATGACCACACACAGGTAACAAATCATGCGTGATGACACAGGGACCCTCAAAAGGACCCTGGCCTAGGTCTATTAGCATGGAGCAAATCTCCCTCCCATCCCCGCAAGGACCCTGTCTCACTCCTGTGATTATATGACTTTAGCCATATAGCACACACATGGTGCTTAATAATGGAGTATTGAGATGACGAATTTAGATGTCTGTGCATGGTGGTCTGGGCAAGTTCCATCAGAGTTAAGTCTGCTGAGTGTCAAACTACAGAAATACCAAGGAAGAGGCACTGCCATAGCAGACCAAGTTCCCTGCAGACTCCAGGAGAAGACTCCTAATTACTGAGTCCTCCATCGGCTGAGCCATGTCACAGCCTGGCCAAGAAGCTGGCAGGCCCTTAAGTCAGCATGTAATTTCTTTCAGGCCTGCAAAAATGCTGCAAATCAAGGTCTTCTTTTCTCATTTTAAGAAAACTTTTTTTTTTTTTTTATTACAAGGTCTACTGTCCCCTGTCACAACCGCTTAGAAATCTGAAGAGATTAGATGGCTAACAAAAAAGGGCAGGGAAAGCCACATCATTTTTAAAAAATTAACAATTCAAAAAATAACACATATTTTTCTTAAAAATACGCTTCACATTTTTTTCACATCATCCTTCTAATCCAGAAACCAATATACTAGTGACAACATATATTATCAAATAAGAGAGAAGCTCAGGCTTCTATATCAATCAAGTTCTCCATTTGATACTTTTGTGTCCCCAACAAAGGGCCTTCTCCTCCCTTGCAGTCAAGTCCAACCTGCACCAGGATCTGGCTTCTTTACTCTCTGGATTTCGCTGAAAAGGGACCTAGAGGCAAGGACTGAAGAAATGATTTTTCTGGCTGGATTCTGTGGTGCACATCTGTAATCCCAGCAGCTCAGGAGGCTGAAGAAGGAGGATCAAAAGTTCAAAGCCAGTCTCAGCAACTTAGGGAGGTCCTAAGCAACTTATTGAGACCCTGTGTCAAAATATAAAAATGGCTAGGAAAGTAGCTCAGTGGTAAAGCACCCCTGGGTTCAATCCCCAGAACCAAAAAAAAAAAGAAAAAGAAAAGGTTTTTCTAGGAGGTGACCCAGGAAGTACTAGAAGGGAAAAAAAACCTGAAGGAAGAGAAAGAAGAGCAGGAGAAGGTATGTATCACCAAGACTGTGCCCACTGTGAGCAACCAGAGCTTAATCCTTACGAAGACAGTGTAGAACACAAGACCAGGAATTAGACTCCTCCCACCCCCAGGGGCAAGGGACCTGGGGTACTCATCCACCAGCACCCCCTTCTGATCTGCCCCACCAGCAGGCCCCAGGGGCTGAAGCCAGGTAAGGGCTGGAAGTCTGCCAGGCAGGAGCCAAATGCCCAGGGGATGTAGGTGGGGCACTGACCCATCTCTTACATGGCTTGCTGTGTGACTATGGGAAGTTACTTACCTTCTCCTATCCTGGTTTCTTCACTGTTGATAGTAAGGTTAAGTAAAGGTCTTGCATGTAAGGGATTAGCCCCATGCAGGGTACATCGTGAAGACTCGACGCATGCTCATTGTTTATCACCAATATTCTTTAAGAGTTTCTTCCTTTTGGAGAGTAGGGATGGGAAAGAAAGAGACATTTGGGGAAAAGGATGATCTGTAATGGCCCATCATTACTTCTCTATGGGCAGTAACACTTTCAACTCCTGAAGCAAAAGTTCTAGGAAGATATTCAGTGGAGCCCAGACCCCGGGCATGGTCATGATGCAGAAGACCAACCTGCTCCACTGTCTACTACCAGCAGAAAACCCCTAAAAGAAACTGAAACTGGATAAAGGAGGCATCTCCCGGTCCCTTCCAGCCCCATCGTTTAATTTTGTAAAGAACTGCTGACCCAGATGGAGAATGAGACTTGCAAACAGGCAGCCAGCCGGTGCAGCCTGGCCAGACTCCCTCCTGAGGGAGGAAGGCTGTCAAACAAACAGCCTCCTCTAGGTGCCTCTGTAGGTCCACCCCAGAGGCGGAGGCCTCTGTCCCAGCAGGTTCTAACAGATGCTAATGACTCTAAGTATGGTCCTTGAAAAACTGGTCTATGTTCAAATATATTTTATGAGGGCTTCATGCAATATCCCTCTCTTGACAATTTTGTGCACGTTAACATGTTAAAAGCTTTAACATCTAAGACTTCTGGTGAAACCCAGCACAGCTATCTCTTAGTATTCTGAGGGACTGGTTCTGGGAACCCCTTCTTATACCCAAATCTGCAGGTTTCAAATCCCTTATATAAAATAGTGCAATATTTGCCTATAATCTAAATACATCTTCCTGTGTATTAAATCATTTCTAGATTACTTACATTACCTGGTACAATGTAATGTTATGTAAATAGTTCCTTTACTATTGTATAACTGATAGGGAATAATGACAAGAAAAATAAGTCTGTATGTGTTCAGTACAGATGTCTCGTGTTTTTTTTTTTTTAATTTCAATCTACAGAAAGTTGAATCCAGAGATGCAGACCTGCAGATACAGAAGGCTGACTCTATTCCCTAAATTTATTTGACACAGAACATATGTGTGTATGTGAAACATCAATTAACACCCTTCCCAGGGACACACTTAGTGGGAGACTGTGGCCCTAAGGCAGTCCTGGGAAAGCTGGGACCCAATTGGAACCATCTTTGCAGCCCCCTGTCCTAGCACAATGCCTGGCCACAGTGGGCACCAACATAATCCATTGTTATTCGAATGAATGGAGAGAAAGCTGCAAGAATGACTTAATGATGGTTTTTAAATCTGCAAAGTGACATAGTATCGGCAGTGCCAGGCAACAGCTCTGTTTCTAAAGCACACATTTTAAATTGCAGCGGGAGGGATTCTGGAAGCCCTGCTCAGAGTTTAGGATTACAATCCACCAAAATAGGCTTCCAAGCCGAGCTGCGTCGCTTCCTTCTGTGGAGGTGTTGGTCTAGCACTTCAGCACAGCCCAGAGTCTGTGTGCAGGCGTCCGCCCACCCCTCCACTCATTCATTCACTTGTTCGTTCATTCAACCCTTACTGAGCACCTACTATGTGCTGAGCACTGATAAACATGAGGCATTGGAGCCCTTCCAAAAGCAGGTAGGACCCCAGTAAGCTTGTGATAAAGCCCAGGGAGCCTCTAAGGGGAGGGAGGGGGACCCTGAAAGTGTGAGGTCAGGAGGCCTCATGCCCAGAGCAAGAGATAGTGGGGGGGTGGGGCGACACAATTTCACGCTGACACATGAGGCTGGCCTAAAGAATAAAGCTTCCACTGTCTCCTTGTGTTTTGTTTGTCTACGCTCCTTCTTGTGACTATATCCCATTGTTCCCAATGGCATCCCTGCCCCCACTTGCAAGTCCTTGGCCTCCTCATACATCTCCAATATCTTCTCCCTTTCCTTAAGTCCTCCTTCTCCTTCTTCAAACGCCTCCCAATTCTCTAATTGTTCCCTCTCTCTTGCCTTGCTTTTCCACTCTCAACCTCCTTATTCTCCTCATTCTAGACCATCCATTCCTGGCATTTCCTCAGTGGTTTTCATATCCAGTTACAGACACAAATGTATGAGCAAACCAGGAGTCAAAATCTAGGTCCACTGCTCACCATCCCATCATGGTGAGCCACAGATTGCTTCGCCTCCAACAGGAGGCAGGGTATTGGGATAGCAGATGAGTCCCATCATCACGATCGCCGGACCACCTTCCAGATCTGCATCCTTGCATCAGTACACACTGGCCCCACCTGGATGGCACCCAGGTTTGCTTCTCTAAACAGAGGCTAAGGGCTATGGTTTGAATATGATTTATGTTTTCCAAGGGTCCACTGTGATTCAAGGCTTGGTCCCCAGGCTGGCACTGGTAGGAGGTAGTGGAACCTTTGGAAGTGAAGCCTAGTAGGAGGTCCTGAGTTCACTGGGGGTGTGAGGTATTTCTTATGAACTCTTGCTAGTTCCCTCTCTCTCTCTCTCTTTGGGGGGAGGGTGTACTTTACCACTAGCCCTTTCCCCAGCCCATATTTTTCTACTTTTTATTTTGAGGTAGGATCTTGCTGAGTAGCTGAGGCTGGTTTGAACTTGCTCTCTTCCTTCCTGCTCAGCCTTCCAAGCCACTGGGATTACAGGTGGGCACACAGCATCTTGCTAGTTCTCGTGTGACTCTCTGATAGTTTTTGCAAGAGGGTTACTATAAGAGCCAGCATTTGGCTTCACTCATCTCTCTCTGCTCCTGGTTCAAGATGGGACCACTTGCTCGCACATAGGCTCCTGTCTTTGCTATCCACCATGATGTGACCTAATGCTCCCAAGAACTGAGCCAAAGTAGGTTTCATGCTTTTGAACCTCTAGAACCATGAACTAAGTATAAGTGAGTCTTTTTTCCTTATAAAGTTAGCTGCCTTGTTTTTTTTTTTTTTTTTTAGTGACAAAAAGCTGACTGGTACACCTAGAAGGGCATGACGAGAGGATACCACAGAGGCACAGAGGACTAGGAGTAGCAATTCTGCTGTCAGACACCGAACTACTGAATCCTAGGGTTGGATATAACTTGAGTGGTCATCTTGGCCGATGACTCCAAATTGTAAGAGTTGTCATCAAGATCACCTAGGGAGCCTGGTATGGTGGCACACACTGATAATCCCAGCTACTCCAAAGGTTGAGGCAGGAGGATCCCAAGTTCAAAGCCAGCCTCAGCAACTAAGCAAGGCCCTGTCTCAAAATAAAAATAAATAAAAATGACTGGGATGTAGCTCAGTGGTAGAGAATCCCTAGGTTCAATTTCCAGTGCCAATTATGATGATAAAAAAGATCACCTAGGAAGCTTTGAAAACTAGATCCAAGCTGTTTAGAAAATAGATCCATGCTGGATGGAGTGCAGCTTAATGTTTTAGCTATTGCCTAGCAAGCTCAAGTCCCTATGTTTAAGCCCCAGTATCAGAACGAAAGTGAAGGAAGGGAGGGAAGAAAAAGAGAGAGAAGAAGAAAGAATCCAATTCAAGGACCACCCCAGCATAAAGCTGCACTTTGCAAGTAAGGCCTGGTAGTCTGTAATTTCCAAGAAAATTACAATGAGCCAAGGTTGGGAATCAATAATACAGTGACCCATCCAAACTTCTTTCCACCAAGCGGGCAATTTCCTCAATAATAAGCTTGGCAGATAGCCATCCAGTCTCCACTTGAATATCTCCATTGAGAGCTAAACACCCCAAGAGGCATTCAGTTTGGGTGCTACAGGAATGGCTGGAAAGGTATATCCTACCTAGAGTTGAAATTTTCCTACTATTTTCACTTCTTTGCCCTAAACCTGTTCTTGGGAGCAACCAAAAATAATTTACTCCCTTCTCTAATATTTTACAACAGGGGCCCTAGCAATAACACCTTGTCCATCACATTAGGGTTTCTTACTTGCTATGGTCTCCTCTTTTCCCAGCCAAATACCCCTAGCCCTCAAATGTTATCTCAGAAGTCAAAGTTTCCAGTCCTCTTACCAAACTGGTCCTTTTCCTCTGAATTCTAGAATCAAATACCATATTTCAGACTAGGAAAACTCAATTTCCTGTGAGTTAGTTATGCATATAAATTCAACCAAGATCCTATCAGCCATCTCAAAAACACATTCTCACCTTAAGAGCACTGTCTGTTAACTAGAAACTCCCAGATTTTTTCACAATGCCATAGAGATCTTCCCCATCCTATATTTGGACATCGCCTTGAGGGGAAAAAAAAAAAAAGAAAAAGAAATTGGTACTTTTCAATGATCTCTATTAAGTTTTGTGTTCAGGAGAGAAAATCAGTGTTGATCCTGTCCTCCACCAGCCAGCTACCCCCATCTGGTAAGCATGGGTGAGAAAAGAATGTGCTCAAACGTCACTTATATAACTGCCACCCAAAGGGCTTATGGGAACAGGCATGTTGGAGCCCCCAGAGCAACTTTCCACTCCCAGGCCAGGGAGCACTCCTGGGAAGAAATGACCACAAGCTGGACCTGCCACAGATGAATAAAGTTAGTTGAAATAAAGAGCAGGCAATCATGGACCAGATGTCACCCAGCTAGAGACTGGCACAACCCAGGAGGTCCCCCCCTCTGGTCACCCTGCCCTTTCCCCACTACACCCATGCCTGGGACCAAAGTGGTAGTTCCATTCATACCTCCCAGGAGAGGAGATGCCACAGCCCTGTTCTGCTGCCAGCTACACTCTCTGACACAGGGACTCATGTCCAGGGCCTGTCTGTCTCTAGAAGAGAGCTTTTGTTCAAGGCTTTTACACTGATTTTTAAACTCTCCTGCAAGGTCAAACAGGTTTCCATGATAGTGCTTAACAACTGCCTGTGCCCTCTTCACATAAATGGAAGCATTCTGTTCTGTGTCCCACAGCACAGAGACTTCATGCTCTTGCTTGCAAATCACAACTTAAATTGAATTATTAACAGCGAACTTTCCTACAGATATAGCAGCCAGGCATTCTGCTCCTTGGCTGAGTCTCCACCATTCCTGAAGTCCTCCCCACAGTGATCAAGGTACCCTTGAGGTCTAGCAGAACATCCCCTACCCAGAAACCTGCTCCAGCTCTTGCCAGGAGCGGCTTCTGTTCCTCTTCACACATTCCCTCCTAGCTGCCTGGAGAAGTAGGCAACACAATCAAAGACAATTAGCAAACGTAACTGCTAAATGCAATTATCAAGACAAGCAGACCCTTCTCCACTCCAAATTCAAAGTCAACCCCACCCCCAGCCTGCTGGTGCTATTTGGAATTCACTTGTGGCCAGATTTCTCCTGCACAGAAACACAGGTGACGGGGAAGTCATTGGTGGCAGACAATGACCTGGTCTTTGTGGTAGAAGTGTCCTCCATACCACCCAGCAGTGCAAATAGGGCAGCCACAGTGATCCTCCAGACTGGCCACTGGGCCAAGTTCCAGATCAAGGAGGTGGCACTCCAATAGTGTTCATCCTGCTGCTGAGCCACTGCACAGCAGGAAAAAGGAAAGGATGGGCTCCTTGGGGTGAAGGGGTTTGCCCACTCAAGTCCAGCCCCCAAACTCACTATGGAAATGGGAGGGAGTGTATACAGTCCCTGAGGAGTCATAGGTCAAGGTCAGAAGAATGAGAAAAGCTAATGGCCATAGGAAGCCAGCTACCAGCCAAAAACAAACAGAACAGAGCCAGGAGGATCTCCTCTCAAAGTGAACACAAAAGCTTCTCAGGCCACCCCCATCACCCGGGCCAGCACGCCTGCCAGACAGACAGACACGGGCAGGCACATGCGCTGGCTCACACGTGCACATGCCCTGGGGCAGCCACAGCGGTGGATTCCTGGCCCATGTCCTTACCCCCACCCATCCCTTGCCTCCGCACAACAGACACTCACACGTGCTCAGTCACAGAACATCACCCACACAGTGCCTGTGCCATTCTGGTCGCTGGAACAACTGGTGACAGTTGTGAGTTCAAACAGGCACAAAGGAAGAAATGCAGGAAATCACTGTTTCTCCTAAAGGGCAGGAGGCAAGGAGTAAGGAGCAAAAGTAATTCAGGGTTGGGAGGGGATGGGACCCTGCACTCTACTCTCCTGCCTACCCATACGGGGTCAGAATCTTCTCAGAAATCACATCAAACAGGTTCAAGGTGGCTGTGAAATAATAATACCAAACATTTGAGCAGGTCTCTCCATTCATTATGACCTACTAGGGTAATACTTGGAGGAGGTGACCATCTCCTTGGGTTCAAATGACCACCCTGCCTCCACAGGGCCCAAAGAGGCTATCTCCAAAATAATCTTTGACATCCAAGCATGGATCATAGTTGTGGAGTGTGCTTGTTTGTGTGTGAGTGAGCACAGAGGCTTTATGTAGCAGAGTGGGATACAGTCAAACAAAAATGAGGTTGCCATGGCAACAGGCTCCAGCATCATTGCAGCCTATTAACACAAGTGAGGAATGTGTTTGGCAGATGCTTGAGTGTTATTTATGGTATGGGTGTAGCAGAGGGACTTCTAACAGGCAAAAGAGGAGGAAAAACAACCCCATGACGCTCCTACTGTACCCCTGTGAGGCGATGAGGGGACGACAGCAAGACAAGAGCACGGGAGAGGCCAAGGCCACAAACGAACCAGAACCAACGGGACTAAGAAAGAGGGCAGCAAAGCAAGCAGGAAGGGTGAGGAAAGAAGAAGTGGGCTGAGAGCAACAGGGGGCCGCACGGGGAGAGCAGAAAAAGGAGGCGAGGCATAGGCAGGAAGAGGGAAAGGGCAGAGGAGGAGGGTGGCAGATCCCAGGGGAAGGCAAGAGCCAGAGATACAGGGAAGGGGAAGGAAGGAACACAGTCCCACACAGGGGCTGCCCCACCTTGCCTCTTGTTTGTCTCTTAAATAAAAACCGACTGGTTAAGAAAACAAATGCATCTTCTCCTAACTGGAGCCAAGACGTAAAGCCCCAAACCTAGAACCCATTCATTGTTACCCTTCTCCCTGGACACGTGCCTTCATTTAAAAAAAAAAAAAAAAAAGGTATCTAACCAAGCCACCTCAAAAATACACTCTGAGATACTAATACTCCCACTAATATTTCCCTACCTGGACACGTGCCTTCATTTAAAAAAAAAAAAAAAAAGGTATCTAACCAAGCCACCTCAAAAATACACTCTGAGATACTAATACTCCCACTAATATTTCCCTACCACCCAGCACACTTTGCTGAAGAAAGACCAATTTTATAACAGGCATAATCAGAAAGGTAGATCAAGTACAAACAAACCAAAAAAAAGATACAGTTTTCTCTGAAGCCAAATAGAAACAATGTTTACATTCCCTTGCCTTGGACCATTTCAAACAAACTCTGCTGTACTCAGAGCAGCTCATCAAAAGTTAAGTACAAATCCATCCCAAATCCTTCAGCCAAGGAAAAGTCTTGGGTCAAAAAGAAATGGGTAGAGAAGCTTGGAGTGGGAACTGGTGGGGGCAGGAATAGAAAGAATATTGCCTGAGGAACCAGAAGGCAAGTCAGACCCTGTGGCAATGGCATTTCATGCCAAGACGGAGTTGCAGTGCCTAGGTTCAGCTTCGTCATTTGGGATCTGACTCCAGTCTCCTGAAATCCTATGTCCAGGACTGCCTAATGCTGTAATCAGGCCCTGTATCCCAAGACAGGTTTAGAAATACCCACAGCTTTCCTGGAAATCGCCACTGTGCCATATAGATGGCATACCCTTCCCTCTTCAAAAAAACTACACCTACCAAAGGCAAGAACAAAGATACAACACTTATCTGAGAACATGGGTCCTCGGGCCAAAAGAGTTGGAGTCTTTATAAGCACTAACAATAGTAGAAAATATTTTCAAACCACCGTCTCTCAAAAGATTTCCCTCTCAAGTTCAAAGCCAATCTCTAAAGGGTTTTTTTCCTTCTGATCCTAGATCAGAAAAACTTTAACTTAACATCAACAGCTCCACCTACTCCACTCACTGGACCCCAACCAAATTGGCCAGTGGCTATTAAATTGTTAATAAATATTCTGCATTGACCTAGGCAAGGGAGAAAGTGGAGGAAGGAAAATTATATACTTCAGGATCCTTGCATCCAAGGAGGTTATACTGGATGGGCAGCAATGGACACTGGAGAGGGCTCCTGTCTATGGCTGACTCTCCTATTAATCATGCAGTTCAGGGAGAGCACCATGTGGCTGAAAGAGAAGACTCTTTACAGGAGTTTTATTTACTCCTTAGCTCACAGTTGGTGAAGAGGCTGTTGGGAGTCAAAAGGACATAGTCAACCCTCTCATTCTCTAGAAAGGGAACCTAGGACCAGAGAGATCACATGTTCCCTCCCTCCCTATAGCAGAGCATCTTGCAGGTTCAGCATGTCCAGGAAGTTGGGATACAAGGGAGCATCCCAAGAAAGTTGCAACACGCAACAGGATCATAGAGCCTCTCCTTCTCCCTACTTTTACTACCTTCCCCAGAAGGTAGTAAAAGTAGGGAGAAGGAGAGGCTCTATGAGGGCTGGGAATGTAACTAAGTGGTAGAGCACTTGCCTAACATATAGAAGGCCCTGAGTTCAATCCCCAGCAGGGTGGGGGGAAGGTTCTGTGAGAGGAGGCAAATATCAAGAGATAGAAGGAGTGTACAGTGGGGTCAGGGTCCAAAACACTGACCTACAGCAAGCCCCCCTTAATTCTGTCCAATGGAACAGCATACAATCGGGCAGGTTCAGTAGAGGCCATGGATTGGGATAGATATTAGGATGCTAAAAGGAGAAAGCACAGATGTCTTAGAGGCTGCCTTACCCTAAGGCCTGGGTGGCAAGCATGTCCCTCTTCAAGAAGTCTGAAGCCACAGAAGTTTTATTTACTCCTTAGCCCACAGTTCTAGATTTGCCCAATAAGTGTCAGCAGGGCTTTAAAAAAAAAAAAAAAAAGCAATGACCAGGAGCACCCTTTGGAAGGGTCATGGTATTCAACACCAGCTTTCTGCTCAGGCCAGAAGGGGGACTGTGGCCACACACATCTCAGATGCTTCCTCCCACTTGTGCCAACTGCAAGTTTTCGCCTTCTTGCCTTGCACTTTGGTAAGGTCCTCCTTACTTGTCGGTCTTCCTTCAAGTTCAGTGATATCTCTAGCTTCTAAACCTCCAGCCTCAGACACTGGGAGGGCTATCCTATCTCCTTCCTAGGACAGGACAAGGGGTGTCCAGATCCCTCCTCCCCAATGTTCTATCTAGGTCTGGATTAACAAGTCAGCAGTGATGCTCTGGATGGGTGGCTGCTAGAGGGTCCCGCCACTTTAGGTAGTGTCTCCTGTATATACAGGGACTGAAGCTCAGGGAGAGATGGGGACTTCTCCATTTTCTCCAAGTCTTCTTCCTTACTCAAATCCCAGCACTGATGGATACAGTTTGGAGCATTATCTACCAGACCAGGAACGTTATAAGTAACACAAGAGCACTCTTTTGTAAACGAAGACACTGGGGTGCAAGGGGGACCAAGAAGCCACATCTCTGGCTCTTTTTCACCACTTTCAAGGGTGAGGGTGGGATCACTTTCTCTGGAATCAAGCCCAGGCCTGCCAAGCCCCACAGTCCAGTCCCTTTGGCGGGGTGGGCTCCTACCTGTTTGAGCAGGAACTGGTCCTGGGCGTTGGTTCGTAGGGCGATGGCCAGGTGGAGAGCAGACAGGAGCACCCCGCTGAGCACCGCAGCCCGCATGCGCACGGGCAGCAGGGTGTAGATGGTGTAGATGAAGAACACCGTCCACCAAATGCCCTCGGAGGCGCTGCGCGGCTGCGGCAGCAGAAGGCCCACCACCTGGACGGCCAGCACCACCGCGATGAGCGCGTAGCAGGCCAGGCCCATGTGGTCCTGGTGGAAGGCTGCGCGGTTGCAGAGCACAGCCATAATGAGGATCACTCCCACGGCGGCCACCAGCACGGCCAGGTAGGGCAGCTGGAGCGGGGGCCGCGCCGCGTGGAAGGCCAGCATGACAAGACACACGAGCACCAGCACGGCCATGAGCATGGTGAGACTGCTCTGGTTCAGGCGGAAGAAGTAGCGCTGGTACAGCCGCTCCAGCTTGTCCGACGGGAACTTCTTAGAGCGGAATATCTGCAGCAATGCCAGGCAGCAGGCGCCCAGCGACAGCACCGCGCCGGGCCCTGAGCCTGAGTCCTCTGAGCTGCAGCCATCCCCAGAGCCTTCGCCGCCCTCGAC